GATCTACAATGGAAAGAGGTTTTATGTTTTTAATGTTTAATGATGTTTTGTTTTATTTGTTTGTAAAATCAATAAAACTTGTTTAAAAAAAAATACTTAAAAACAACCGAATGGGCAACAGGTTGCCCTTCGCTTAATTTTGGAAATATATATATATTATATTTATTATATATATTTATTATTACATTTATATTTATTATATTTGATGGCAAATCATGATTGATAGCTTATATGGCAATGTGTGAATTCAACCAATTATGGCTTTAGAAGAAATTGATTGAGTAACCATGAGTAGTAAGGCTCAGGAAAGAACATTTTCATGCAGTTCAAGGTGAATAGCTTCAGATTGGAGGGCTAAGTGGCCTTTGGATGTTTGGGGACTACAGCAGTCAGAATTCTTCAGAAGGGCATCGAAGGAAGGTGTCCTTACCTACACAATTTGCCAGTCCTTCCTGGGATTTCTACTCTCACATGTCTATTATCTGAGTTCCAGGCTGTCCAGGTAAAAAAAAGGTTGGAGCTATGCTGCTAAAACATTATTGAATGAGGAAGTCTTCTCTATCACCTAGAATCCGGATAGGGTACAAGAGAAGATCTCCCTTCACTAGCAATCAGTCCTCCCCCACACACACCCCGCCTTAGGGTCCAGTTTTCTTTTTTTTAAACAAAGACACCAAATCCAAGGAGGTATGGCAAAATGTGGAACTGGATTACAAACTTAATCCTGGAATATCCAAGAAAGTAAAGATTTATATTCGATTACAAGACACAAAGTAGGGATTAGAGAGAAAAGCTGAGCTACAACCAACTATCTGAAGCCAAGATCTGCATTACAAAGCTGTCTTATTTTCAAGGAAACACTGTAGTCATTTTTAGATGATGCTAAGAGATTATTTTCTGATATCTCAAATGTGTGTCTCATATGATTAGATGCCCTCTTGTTTGCTTTTGCATTAAATTAATGTACCACTGTCTCCATTTCCATGCCAGATCCTAATGTAGCAGTGGGAAAACTATCGTCCCAGTCGAGTACATTTGAAGAAAAGGGGGAATCAAGGAAGGCCATTGATGGATCCCTTGCAAATAACTACACAAATGGAGACTGTACTATGACAAAGAAGGATTTTGAGCCCTGGTGGATGGTAGATTTGATTTCAGACTTTCAGGTATCTGCAGTAGTGATCACAAACAGAGGAGATTGTTGTGAGTCACGGATAAAAGGAGCTGAGATTCTGATTGGAGATTTGCCACAGAAGGGAGGCACAATGAATCCCAGGTACTGGCATGATACTATATTGTCCTCTTAAGTGTGTTAATGAGAAATATGTCTCATCAGGGGTGGGGTGCTGGGGGTTTGGAGAGGTTCAGAAGAGCCCCTAGCTAAGATTCTGTGTAGTTTGGAGAACCTCCAAATCCTACTTCTGGCTGGCCCCGCCCACCCCTCCTCTCCCCTCCCGGAGTCCCAACACGGCCCGTTTTGGATGCAGGTAAGTGCAGGGCACGTACGGAGGCTTGGGGAGGGCGAAAAATGCACCTCCCAGAAGTTTGGGCAGGCCGGAACTGAGCCCATTTCTAGCTTCCAGAGGGACTCTGGAGCCCGGGGAGGCCGTTTTTGTCCTCCTGGAGGCTTGCCCCAACATGGCCACGCCCACCCAGCAACCGGGAAAGAATGTTGCTAAAATTTTTGAAGCCCGCCCCGGTCTTACTTAATCTTAAATCCAAGCATTTGTGTGGATAAACCCAAGTGAAGCTTTTTAAAAACATATAACTCACAATAATTTAGAAAAAAATAGATTTCCTGTTCTATGAACTGGAGTGTTGCTGAGTGTGGGCATTACAACAGTCTGGATAAGTTGCAATTTTAGGAGGAGAGACATGTTAGTCTATGGTGGCAAAAAAGTCAGATTTTTTTAAAGGACATACACTTTTGTGATCTGCAGCTCACTTCATAAGATACATAGAGTGGCTAGCTAGACTGATGAAGGGTTGTACATTGTATCCCATGAGCCCACATTCTGCCACTTTCAAAGTAAACATGTTTCTGTGAGACTTTGAAACAAATTCTAATCCACTTCCTATGTTGGGTAAAAATGAGTGTTACAGCACTGTACAACCTTGTAGTATGATATGCACAATATAGTTGCAAAACATTGAATTTCAGGTTTTCTCTGTGGTCTTTTGAACACAGAGTCCTTGACTTATAACTGTAATAGAGCCTACCCATCATGGTCATAAATCGCGACAGTTCTAAACTGGGTCACCCACATGATGTAAATCAATTTTACAACTTTTTTGTGGTAGTCATTAAATGAATCAGTGTACCGGTTTTGCTGAAAACTGGTAAATGCCAGTTTTTGGCTGAACTGTCATACATGCAGTCACATGACACTGCAAATGGCCGTAAATGTGTCCTAGTTGTTGGGTGCCCAAAATAATTCTTTTAAGTAATTTTCTTAGTCTGTCAACTGTAAGTCCACCTTTGATACTATATTTTGTCATCTAAAATTTGTTCTATATCTTTCATTTCAATTATAACATCTTTTGGACATAGTCTATGCATAGAAGCAGACATCATTATAGACATTGTTGAGATTGTGGCTATTTCTGATTCCAGTCTTCAAAAATCTTCTTCAATATATTCATTCTTAGAATGTTTTCAACATTTTTCAGGTTATAAATTTTTCCTCTAACCTTCAGCCCCATCTAGTGTCCAATATTTGAATTCATGAAATTGCTTGTTTTGTCTTGTAAAAGCTTAAAAAGAATATTTCCAGTGAGCAGCTGTTTATTCTTTATAATTAATTAAAAATCTTATTATAAAAGTTACAATATTTCAATTTTATCTGCTCCCTTAGCCCCGTTCTAAAATCAAAACCTTATTTAGCTATTTGCTGCTTATTTTACATTCTTTAAATTCTTAAGCTTAACATTAAATTTTTCTTTCATTTGGGATTGAAGGCATACTCATCTAGCATTTTCAGATTTGTCAACACATGGAGCTTTAATAGCTTAGTAGTTAATGAGCAATTTCTGAAAGTGATTAGAAAGTGAAGTTTGTGAACTTAAAAGTGTTTTCAAGTGTTTAAAAGTGTTTACAACAGCAAGTGTTTACAACAGCAAGCAAGATAGTTAATCTCATCATATGGCAGCTGTGGAAAACAGCTGTCCTTTGATCTCCTTATGAGGAGCAGGTATCCTCACTTATCTCAATTTCCCATCCTCTGCTTATGTGGGAAGGTTCCAGGGAACCATTTTATTAACCAGTTTCTTGGTCTTTGCTACAGCTGGCCATTTTCAGTTTGCCATACCTTCCCTGGAAATCCCCATTAAACTTCCCTTCCAATGCTTGACATGCAGCTACATCCACTGCCTGCTCTTGACACCACTGTGTAATCCAGACATAGAACTTTTCAGGTATTTAGCAGCCATCCAGATGTCTATAGCCACATCTGTAGCTATAGTTTGTGCTAGGTCATTTTCAAAATATTGCATTTTATTACTAATTATTTTTATCTTTTTTTCAGTTAGCATTCTATAGCAATTGAAGAGATTCAATTTTTACTGTTTTTTTAGACCCAAGCCCTTTTTCTTACTTCATGTTGTTTTTATTTCTGGAAAACTTGAAGCTTTTCCTAAACTCATTAATCCTTTGGTTAGATGTTGCATGTTGACATTAATAAACTGCAATTGTTTTTGGAACGGTTAAATATTTTGAAGCTGAGTTACATATTAAATAGCTTGTAATCGATGTTTGGTCAGTGCACCAATGTATCTAAATGTATCTTATCACTTTACCCTGTGATAAGATGGATAGCCAATACATTTAATAAATAAATAAAATTTCAACTTGTGAATTAGTGCATCTGCAATAAAACGTAACTAATTTACAAGTCGATGACAAGATTGCCAATATGTACCATCATAATAGTTTATTCTACTTACTCTAGAAGCAAAAGAAACTGCACAGTGTAATTTTACAAGGACCATTATTGAGAGAACAGAGATTACTAGCAGATATGTAATTATGGCAGATATAGTTCCCTATCTGTTCTGAGAATCTTGTGGAAATCATGGCTTCTCTTAGCATGAATGTTGATAGGGCTCACACATAAAACTCAGGGACTCAGATTCATGCTGTGCCAGTCTGCAGTTCAATAACAATCTGGCCCCTTGGCAGGTGTGCTACAATCAACAGCATCGGACGTGGGGAAACAATGTCATTTAACTGTGGAGGCATGCAAGGACAATATGTAACCATCACAATCCCTGGGAGATATGAATACCTAACAGTCTGCGAAGTGCAGGTGCTTGCACATCCCTGGCTTCATATAGGTAAGTAGAAACTGTGTGAATACAGTTATGAATAGAGGATGTATGGCTTATATAATGTTCTGTGTTTACTGTATTGTACTGTATTTTAACACAACGGGGATGTTTGCTTTTACATCAGACATCTAATGTAAGAAAAATATCGACTAAGATGCATATACATTTAACTGACGGTATTGACGGTTGCTTGTTTTGTTGAGATAAGGGAAGTGCATTCTTGTATTTATGGGGTAATCACAATAGCAAAATAATCAGACAAATAGAAAGATAATCTAGTGTTTCACAACAACTTTCACTTCATGAAAAAGGAGGTAAAAGTTATACAGTTAATAAATATTCAGGTAGTAGGGGCTGTATTGCAACAGTGGGAGTTTACTGGGCTGAAGGTATAACCCTTAGTTATCCTGAAGTTGCGCTATAAACATTTCCAGCACAATATGATCAGATTAGGGGACTTTTAGGAGACAAATTGCCTATATTTCTTATTTTAAATCTGCATTTAAGGGAGGGAGGGAGAGAGAGAGAGAGAGAAAAGGAGAGAGACCCTCTTTCATTTCCAGTTGGTCAGAGTAGTGATACTGTCAAATCATGGTGAATAGTAGACATTCAGACATTTCATTTTTTACAGTTCACGGTGGAGGAAGGAGTCCTGTTCGAGACAGTGACACTGACTCAGGTTTGTGCATAGTCATCATACCTTTGCCCAGATGTATTCACAATTAGCCAATCAGAGGATCTCTGACAGGTCACTAGGGCATGTGGGTGAATACAGCAGTCATAGGGTAAGGGTAGTAACTGGACGTCCCTGATTTGCTTGGCTGGAAAGATGCAAAACAAGTGTCAGATCAAAAAGGTGGCAATATGTTACTACTACTGCTGCTGCTTTTTGATTTATATTTCACCTGAATCAGAAAATACTCTTAGCAAAAATGCAATACAACATCCGTAGCAAAAGGCTAAATAGAATCAAATCATACCCCACTGTTACTTATACTACCTCCAAAGTAACTTTGTTTTTATCAATTTAAAGGAAGCCTGCAGAGTAAGCAAGGATTGAATTTCTGATGGGAGGCTACCCCAAAGTGTAAGCATACTCCTAATGAAAGTTTCTCTATGAATTCTTCCCAACCTCTATCATTTAAAAAATGTGTGGAATAACAAGGTGGTTCTGAGATGTTCAAGTTGAATATGTTCAAGTGGGCCAAAATTGGATAGAAAAGATGGTCCTGTAAGCACTTGGACATCAAAGTTGGTCTTTCAAGGTGAAGAGAATATCACATATGTCTTTCAAGCTAAAAAAACCGCAGCACTGTCATTACACTGGAGGTACCAGAAACCAATGTAGAGCACAGATGTATTGTGGTCATGTTAGTGAATGTCCTTCAGCAACTGGCTGATGTATTCTGGACCAACTGAGACCATGCTTCTAAGCAGGTTTAAAAGGCAATCTCACGTATTGCATACAATAGTCCAAATGAGAGATGATAAGGATGTGAGTCATTGCCACAACATCCTGTCACTCCAGGTATGGCTACAATTGGTATACAAACTGAAGTTAGGCAAGACCTCCTTGGCCATGATTTTCACTTGCACATCTAGCAATAGCTGTTACTCCAGGAAGACCCTTCTTCCTTCAAGATAGTACCATTCCATGAAGAAGAACACTTTAGACAATGAAGAACTTTAGTGAACGAATAGTAGCTCTATCTTGATTTGGTAGAATTAAAGTTTTTTATATCCCATCCATACCCTCACAGTCTACAAACATTGGGTCTTGATATTGACAGTATGTCCTGTCTACCTCAGAGCATAGACTGGTATCATCAGTCTATTGTTGATAATCATACTTATATAATATGTAATGGTTTTCATAACTAATGCTAATTACTGTTTATGTAAGTTATAGCTCTATGATAACTCATAAGTAAAAACACTTGATTTAGCGTGCTTCTTGAAAGGTCATGATGATGTTCTCTCTTCTAGGTCTACAAGGCAGAGTTCTGAGTTTTCCCAATGAAGCAAAAGGCAGTTTTGTGATCATATCCCCAATGCAGTCTTTGAATTTGAGGGAATTCACGCTCTGTATGAGGATTGTAGTTGACTATTTAGATGAACATAAAATAATTATCTTCTCCTACCATTCTCAAAGTGATGAACTGAGAATCTTGCGTGAAGCAATGGGCTATTTTGGTTTACACATGGGGGGTAGGAGTGTGAGGTTTGCTCTTCCTGATCTTAGCACTTTGGGGAGCCACATCTGTGTCACCTGGGAGTCAGTATCTGGCCTTACAGCCTTTTGGATAAATGGAAAAAGTAGTATCAGAAAAGTGCATAATAAGGGACACATTCTGCAAGCAGGTGGCACAGCAATGCTTGGACGGGATCAAGGTGCACAAAATATGTCTGATCAGCAAAAACCATATTTTGTGGGAGAAATAACAGATCTATACATGTGGGATTATATACTGAAATCACATGACATACAGAAAGTTTCCCAGGCCCATGAGTTCCCCAGAGGAAACATTTTTGATTGGAACATATTGTCATATAAAATTATAGGTAATGTGATGGTATTGCCTAAGAGCTAATAAATACTGTCCTACTGCATTGGACAGCAAGCGAATAGCAATATTGATATGAAATCTAAAATGTTGAAACATAACTACTGAGCATTTTGTTCTTAGTTTGTAACTATTCTTTGTAACTGTTTAAATTCCTTGAATTAACCCATGAAAATGTAATAAATAAAATTGTCCTATGAATAACAAGTTTGAAAAAGCTTATTTTTCTTTCTCATTTGATATGGCCAACTAAAATATAAAAAGACATGTCTAGTGTTGCAGTTTAAGGAAAAAGAACTTTTCAGCAGAAATGAGGTAAATGGGCCCTATGACTGTGGGACGCTGCAAATGGCCCTAAATGTGATCCAATTGCTGAGCGTCTGAAATGCAGTCACAGGACCATGGTTGGGGGGGCAGGGGGTGGGGGAATAGGCCATCAGAAACTTTGGGGGGGGGGTCTATCCTAACTTCAAACAATTGCTAAGCAAGACTATCTGTACATGATGATTGTCCAATCTGCAGCACTTCCTTCTGTCTCCCAAGGTCATTCCCACATTACCATTATATCATTTTGGTTTTCAGAACACTGAAAAGTTGGATATCATCCACAAACATAAACAGCTCATTGCCTTTCCTTAAGCCAAGATCCATTCTAAGCATTAACAAGCACTGGTCCCAACACAAATCTATTTCTTACTTCCCTCCACTAAAAGTTGTTCATTCATTCTTGCTGTTTCCTTTTCTGTGTTTTAGTTAGAGCTAGTTTGGTATAGTGCTTAAGGCTTCAGGTTAGAAACCAGGATCCCATGAATTCTAATCTCATCTTGGGCACAAAGCCAACTGGGTGATCTTTTTAGACCACTTTCTCTCAGCCCTAGGAAGGAGGGAATGGCAAATCACTTCTGAAAAATTTCACCAAGAAAATTACAGACATGTCCAAGCAGTCTCCAGGATAGTTAATGATAAATGAATGAATTATCTCATTACCACTAAGTCTGCCCCTTTAATGAGGAAAGTTGTCTAAGGCTTTTTGAAACTTTCAAGAGTGGATGCAATAGGTGCCTATATGCATTTTTGAAAGCTAGATAACTGGACCTGGTGTATCCCAGGAAATCAAAAGTAGTATTCCCATGACACATTTTTCCTTTACAAAAGAAACAGAAATTCAACTAGAAGATTCCCCTGGAAGATTGGATGAGATCATTCTGTACTTTCTGAAAAGATTCTGCCAACTCAGTCACCTGCCTGGAAGGCACAAAGTCCCATAAAATGAAAGAATGATGTCACCAGTTATTTCAAGAAGAGGAAGGGTAGAGTCTTAGCCTTGGGAAATGACCACATTTGATTAGAGTCAGGAACAGTAGTGTGTATGTTTGTGAATGCGTGTAGATGTATTTTAGAAAAAGCAAACACACAGTTTAAAGATGGTTTCCTGAATCTAATAGGAGCGGCACTTGTCTCTATAGCCGGTGTTCAGTGTCATATCCTTCTGAAATCTCCAGGGGAAGGATGGTGTGTAGGGGTGCCAGGAAATGACAGATTTCTGGTCTGATGCAAAGCAATCCCACTGGAGCAAAGGGGGGTTGTGGAAAGTATATATAAAGCTGGTCCCAAAACAGCTTGAGAATCATTCTTGAGAATACCAGTCTGAGAGAAAACAATGGTAGGTGGAATTATTACTTTTTCAATCTTTGAAAACTTTTCAAACATTTCATTGAAGATACTTTGATCCTTGCTTTTCTATGAAATAATTTCCTTTACCTAAAAAGAATGCTAACTAACCCACTTCACACAGTTTAAGTCAGCGATTCTTCTTTTGTGCTTTCTGCTCAGTGTTGACTCCCAGTGACTGCTTGAACTAATCCTTGCAGTTTATTTGGTCAGATTTTTTCTTTCTTCCCAGTGGTGAGAAAAGTGAATGGCCCAAGATCACCCTGCTAGTTTTATGCCCAAGACAGGACTAGAATTCACAGTTCCCCAGTTTTAGCCCTGTACCTTAACCACTAATAAATTGGCTCTCATTATTATTCTACTTTATTTTAAATTATCATTCAAAGGTATCCAGCAAATCTTCTGCAATGTAATGATGTCTTGGGCTGCAATTTACTTTCTTGGACTTGGAAGGGAAGGGGAAGAAGTTTATTTTTAATATAAAAAATGGTTATGTTTTACTGGTGAAATATAGAAAACTATAATCCTAGTTTTAAAAAGATAGTGATTATACAGTGAATGTGACAAAATACACACACACACACACCCCAGACTACACACACACACACACACACACACACACACACACACACACACACCAGATTATGGTAAAAATTAATTCAGTCCTTAGGCTTATCATTAAATCTAACTGACATGGAGATATACTATATCACCTTCTCAGTTTTAAACATAAACTTTTCAAAATCAAACTTGTACCCTGAATCCATTTCCTAAAATCAGGAGAGTAGACTTCTTTCCAATCACCTAAATTTATCATTTTGCTGTGTCCCTAGGCTGAAAAAGCTAAAGCTTTCCATGAAATGATCAATTCTATATCTTTGGAATGTAATTCAATATCACATTAAGACCCTTATCTATTCACATTTCTTTCTTTGCACTTGTGCTGGATCCCCATAACATCACTTTCATGTAGTTCTTTGCCTAGGAATGAGACAGTCAATCTTAGCTATACCAGTGTTAAAATATACTCCCCACTCCTTTATTTCACTATTGTCCAAGGGCAACATCAAAGTTATCATAAATGGTTAATCATCATCATCTATTATCGTTGAGATGTAAGGTGAGTGGTAGAGACTAAAAATCAGGTAAATATAGCATAACAGATTGTTACTGGGGCTAGCAAATTATCAAATTATACAGGAATTATCAAATTCCTGTATAGTATTCTGCTGAGTAAGATGGATGAAGTATTTCAATAGTGGGGAAAAGTTATACAGTATGTACATGAGAAAGTTGAAGTCTAAAATAGATCATGTTTGTTTTCACTTAGGGTTATATGCTTCTTTCTGGTGATTTACAAGGGAATGCAGTCATTTCATAGCTCTCAAAGGATGCTACAAAAGAGTCCATGAAAATATTTGCTTGTCAAGATTTTAGGAATTATTTTTAGAGAGTGATACCAAAAAGAATAAAGTGTCTTGGAGCAGTCAGGGGCAAGGGCTTAAATCTTACATTAAAATAGAACAAAGAGAGATAGTTTTATAGAATGGGTTAAAAGTAAATTGCCAAATTGCTGCCCTCCAGATATATTAGCAAGGGAACTCTCAGAATTCCTGAGGAGGGCAAACTTTGTTTAGGATTCCAGATATATCTGCATGTCTCTTGGTTAAAATATGAGATTGTCTTTCTTAGTGACCTTCTTTTATTCTCCCTTCTCTTCCATGAAGATTATGGAGTATGGTATTTTCCCCTTCAGTTTCGATCCTACATGTCGCTTCTACAACACACTGCTTGACCAGCAAAGCCGGCTGTGCAACCACATCAAGAAACTCCAAAAGATATTACAGAGACTCAATAAGCTGAACAGATGTTCTCTCATTGCACATCTAACGGGAAATTCTTTAAGTGCAGCAGGGGCAATTATGGCCATAGTAGGGCTGTCTTTGAGCCCTGCAACTCTAGGAGCCTCCCTCTTGGCTTCTGGGGTGGGTTTAGGAGTGGCGGCTGCAGGGGGGGCTGTTTCCATGACTTCAGACCTTTCTTTAGTGCTCTGTAACTCCAAGGAGGTGAAAAGAGTAAAAAAGATTGCAGTGGCTTGTCACAGTCAGATGAAGGAAACAATGAATTGCTTGGAGTTCCTGCGCCGCAGTTGGAATCCCACCGACCCTTTCTTATTGCAGACTGAAAAAAATGTGTCTATTGCTCTTTATAATTCTGCCTGCTTCCTGGTGTTCTGCGGTCCTCAGGGCTTTCTGGTGCCTGAGCACACAGAAGAGGTGACAAAAGTGAGCCATATCCTCCTTAAGGCAAAAATCCAGAAACTGGCCAAAAACATAGAAGTCTGTGAAAGACATATGGATGAAATCTGCAAGCTTTTAGAAAGTAGGAAAGCCTGTTCCTGGAGGATAAAAGGATCAGTATGTTGACATGGAATCAATGGTCAGAAGGACTCTGCAGTAACACCAAGTCTTCTTGAAAAAATGAAACCTGGGCATAAAACTGCTTAATACTGGTACTGTAATTTAAAATTAGGATTTTATGTACCCTGGAATTCTTCTACACATTTCCTATGATTTGCAATTATCTGCACCCTTCTATTTTGTTTTGTTTTTTTGCTAATCAACGTAACATGCAGAATTCATGGTTGTATCAGTTGTAGTCTATACTTTCAGCACATTTCAAGGGAAGTTGTTTGTCACAAAGCACCATATTTGGGTTTTCTAGGTAGGAAAAGTTTTCCAAATGTCTGACTGAAATGATAGCACTGTAAGCTGAAGTTGCCTTAACACATGAAATTTCAATTAATGTTTAACAATAGTAGGAAAAAATAGGCAGGAATAATTTTCAAAGTTCTGCCAGTAATTGTATTTGAATGCTCAAGGGGTCATGATGGAATATGCCAGCATAGACAAAAATATTTGGCAAGTCTAAAACCTGTTGAACTGTGAGAATCAGATAGATAAATGAAGCCTAAATATTTTTGAACTGTTCCTTATGATGTTCTCATAGCAGATGGAAATTTTCCCTACAAGTAGGGTTAGAACTGAATTATTTCTTTACTTTCATTTCTAGACTTTACAATCTTTGTCTCATTTCTCATAGCTATCTTTCATATACTCTTTTCACACACATGCCAGAATATCATGTAGTTTTATATTTATTTATATGGGCCAATATTAATGAACTCTTTGTTTAAAAGAATAAGAACATTGTCAACACAAGATAAAATATCTTCACTGTGTCAGAGACAACATCTTTAAATTGCTTGAAGTCATTCTCTTTGCCAATATTTTCATTCAAAAGATATAATAAAGAAGCTAGATAAAAATTAGATTGCAAACCAAGTTTTTTTTTTCAAAATTCTGTTAAAATTTCATTTGAAGCATTATTTTTAAGAGATCATCTCCATATGCATTTATATTCAGAAACATTTTACTAGAATGTGCAAAAATAATTTTTTAAGAAAAGCCTTTGCAGATTGAATCTTTTGATAAAAACTGTTTTATATTCATTAACTTCACTGTAAAAATTAGATGCTCCAATTCACTTAATTGATTAATCATCAGTTTTGTAGCTTGAAAATATTGTTGAATAGAAGGCTAGAAAAAAAAACTGAATCAAAGATGGAGGAAAACTTTCCTCAAAGACTTTTTCACAATGGTAAAGCCAATGAGCCAAGCATTTCTTTTTCCCCCCCAATTTCTTTCACAAAGGAAAAGGCATGCTGGGATCAAAAGATAACAGAAGAGTTGAGTTGCTGCTTTGTAACTGGATACTGTAATGAAAACTTTCCATGATTTTATTGTTTGAAATTCATTTAACATGAAAGAACCTGTAAGATTCAGCTGTCTACATGGAAAAACTAATAATTACTTGGGACTGATTTGTGCATGTTAGAGAACTTCTTCACACATCTATATATACTTATGCAAATAATTTCATACTAATAGAGCTCCCAGATCTGGACACCAGATAGAGTCATCTGAAGATTTGCAGCCCAAATGTGGTAGTAATACAACCCCTCCCCCCATATCCCTGCAAATGGATGACAGTTCTGTAAATTTTGTCATGTGCAACTGGAAATTATTGCCTGTGATGTGATAAATTTGGAAGCAGACTCCCTAAAAGAGAAAGGATGAGGGGAAAAAAAGGCAAAGATGACCATACATGTCTGTCGGAAGAATGAGAAAATGTTTTGAGGTATACATGTAAGCTTAATTCTAATCCACATTTTCGTATGGGGGAGCATTCAGTCATATGTGCCCAAAGACACAGCTTGGGCTTATTGGTAGTGAGAACTAAGCCATCAAGCTGTCAAACCAGAGATGATATGATGTTTCCCATTTCTTTCTGTATTAGTAAGGAGTATCTTGTGAGATCTCAAGTTCCATAAGTGATGGCAATGAAGGAATTTAAATGCATGAGAGCCAAGATATGTGAGTGTGTAAGGTATATTTTGTGGAGACATTATTGCAAATCTGACATATTCTTTGCCTGACTGTGGGAAAGCAAAATGCATCCATTATGATCTCTGAGTTATTTCAGTAATTTATAAAATCAAGAAACCTACAGAATCCCAATGCAGTATAAAAATCAGAACAAATATGAAATAATTTTGTTATTTGTTATTTGTATTATTTCTCCCCAATTCTTAAAATTCTACTTCAGAAATAGCAACTCTCTAAACATCTTAATGAATTCAGGATATTTGGAAAAATAATTATGATAACTGGCGTTATTTTCTTCATCTTCAAATATACAAATTCAGCAGAAATTATCAGTGGGGTAAATAAAGTTCCATGATCATAATATGATCCTAGTTTTTTTTTAATCAAAGCTTCCTTCCGCTCTTCTACACATCTTGTTCTGAGAACACTTATTATAAAGTTAAAACCAAGCGTGACCTTTTGTCCAAATGCTTCATATTATGATTTATTCAAATAATAATTAACCAAGTGAGATCCCAAACAATGGTCTATCTGAAATTTATGCAGGTAATACTTTGCCACATACTAAGCAGACGCTTCTGATACTAATATAGTATTGTAGCTGAAATTCAGATTAGAAACACTGACCTGTGAGCTCATGGATCTGAGTTGCAAAAATCAGCATGGCTACTAGATAAAAGCAGAAAGCATTAGCTTTCTGCACTTTGCTGCTGTCTAGATTCTTGAAATCCAGATCTCATAGCCATAGGATTTCCAGATGACTATTAACCAAGCAGCTTTTTTCACATTTTTAAACAAAATGCTGCATTGGTCAGCTCATTTAATTTTCAGCAGCCACACGTTATGTTAGTGACATATACTTTGAGGGAGGGAGATGGTTGTGATGGAATGCAGCCAATGGTGGCACTAGTTTCACTATAAACTTTCACCTTTAATGAAAGATAAGAATGACCAAATGAATGCATTTATCTCCCTTTTGTGCTTTGTATTTTCAAACACCTAAAGAAGAAAGAATGCTACTGAGCAAGCAAATATGAACAAAAAGCCCAAGAAGGGAAACATGTACCACTGATCTAGAAAGCTAACAAAGATACAGTATATTTCTGATGCCACACTGCATTGTATTGGACATTTAAACACTAGTATCACATGTTCCTATGGATTGCTGGCATACATAAGCGATTCCAAAGTTATACAAAGGGAAGATAATATGACAAGCAGTTTACACTGCCAAGTATAAATGCCTAAAACAGGTCTAACTAATGCAAATTTCTTGGAGACTAATCCAGCACAAGGAAGAAAAACTCAAAGGAAAGGTGGATATTGTGGATTTTTGAAATATTGTATGCGAAAAAAGAAACTGACCAAGAATGAACAGAGAAATCAGAAAGATTATGTAAGTAGAAAGATTAATTAAGAAAAATGGAGAATAAGAGAAAAAAACCCTACAGATAAGGCTGTATATGGGTCTCCTTTTTGAATAATGATAATCCATGAATGATTGGTGGATGTTTGGTCACTGTATATGTTACCACTTCAAATTTTGTTTTTTGTTTGAAAATATTGTTATCTGGCAAGTGTTGCAGAAACATGGCAAAAAAAAATATTTCATAATTATAACTAATAAATTGGTGACAATATTATTTGTAACTATACAGCAACTGTGTTGCTTGGACTTTAAGAAAGTTACACACTGTAAGTTTGTTTGGATTTCTTAACACATTTCCTGCTCTTATACAAGAAGAGGATATGGCACTGTGAGATACCAGCAACTGATGATGCAGGTACGTCATAGTTCTTTAGTGGTCACGCACATAGCTAAGATGGATTCCCCCCCCCCCCATTAATTGGGAAAGTATTCATGCTATGGATACACTTCCTGATATGTTTTAGCCTACGTGAACTCCCTGCACAGCATATTTCCTGGTCACATGAGAGATCTGAATTTGGGAGTAAACTGCTGTATATATATAATACATGAAAGTAGTGAATAAAACTAAATGAATAAAACATCGTGTATAAGTAATGCTACTAATTTCTGTTTGTAGGATAGGCCCTAAAAAGTGCCACACAATCTCTCCTTAGATAATAAGGAACAAAAATAAGAGACTAAAATCTCAGATGTGTTTTTTTCAGAGAATTAAGAGTAAAGGGGGCATGTAAATAAGGCAGTTAAAACGAGAAACATTTGTAAAAATCACATTCGAATCTATGACAACTTATGATCACTAGGTATATCAGTTTTATAAATCCTTGGCAAATTACATGTGCATTGTAAATATGTACAATAAATACACCTTATATTAGAATAAAAGTGCTTTGATCAAATAACTGTTTTTATAGCCTTTTACTAAAGCTTGCATGAAAGCTGGCTCGGTGTCCTTAGATCAGTCACTCTCTCAGCTCACCTCACCTCATAGGATTGCTATTGTGGCCAAAAAAGGAGGACAAAGAAGTATTAGGTATGTTCACTACCTTGAGTTATTTATAAATATTATAAAGGCAAGAAACAAATTAATAAAATGGGAGCTATTCTGGTGTAGTGGCAAAGGTGCTGGACTAGAAACCGGGAGACCATGAATTTTAATTCTCTGATAAGCATAAAAGCTGACTGGATCATTTATATGTAACATTTCTACTTTATACTCCAGTCAAGGAACTACCAATTCAGACAAACAGTAAACAACAGATTAATCAAGGAACTACTAAAAATGCTTCCACAAATACTGACAAGGTGAACCATTTGAATAAACAGAGCAAATCTCACTCCCTTCCAGCACAGTTATTACCTATTTGGGTAATGAAAATAACCAAGCTGAGAGCACCAAGGATCCTACATTTTTTCCTTATGCATAGCAGCCAGAACTATCCTTCTCTTTTGACTTGGGATAAAAACTTGATTGCTCCTAAGTATTGTGATAAGTCCCAATAAATCCACATAGATTTGATAGTTCAGAATAAATATATTTACAATTGACTCCCTTAGCAGTTTTATCTTAAACTAGTAGAATGCATATCTGGGCTTAGAAAAACTTTCTAAAATCTCAAAACAGTTGTTCATTTTGGGGAAATAAATGTTTATACAATACCATTTCATAATTTTCTACATTTGTTCTGGAAAATGCAAAATAATGTAAACACTGCAGCAGCTTCCTTTACATGTATGTAATTTTTAAAAGTCATCAAAGTTTTTGAGTCAGAAGTTAGCTAACAGTTTTGTTTCACTTCAGTTGATCGGACTTAATAAAAGGGCTTTATTTAAGAGTTTGCTTCTCTGGGTTTAGGAAGCATTTATTTTTTATTTTACTGTACTTAACTCTGCTTCCCCACGATCTCTTGGCAGCGGTCTTTGGGATCAGTGGTATTCTGTATTGTAACACTCCAGACCTTCCCACAGGAGCTTTGGGCAACGGGAAAAGAGATTATAAGAATTAGGCGCCTCTTTTTCTATATCGAGAACTCCGATTTCCATTTAAAAGACTAATCTAGATACTCATTTCTGAGTTCCAAAAATCCGGATGATCAACAGTGGCAGAAAACTGCAGTGGAGTTTTCTGTATCCCTTTTTGCTGCTTGCTGCCGTTTTCCAGATTTTTGCATCTCCATAGGTAATAGACATAATCTGCAGGGAACCCGATTGTGACATCCCATATAAATCTATGAAGAAATTCAAGATTTGCTGAACGTAGGAATTCTAGGCTTGCCGTAAAGTGGGACAGCCGCCCATCTTTGGGAAGAATGTTGTTTAAGTCTCCTGTCCATCGAAAGTTTTACTTCTGCGCTGGAGGCGAGTGGGGAAGAGACGCATTAACATTAGAGACTAATCCAATAAGCCTTTCAACGGTTATGTTGAAGTGGTTCAACGTTTTTACCCGTAATCCGAATACATCCATCTTTCCGAACCTGGAGGCTTTGAGATAATGGTGTGTTCTCTGTACCGGAGTGGGAGGGACAAATGTAAGCACTTGGACTCCCAGTCCCAAGATGCTTCGCGCTATCTCTGAGGTTAAAGTTGAAGCAGAACATGGCGTCGGTCGTGGAGCACGGGGAAGACACGGGAGAGATCGCGGAAACTTTCAAGCAACTGGTGAGTGGGTTTTCTCTTTTTAACTTTATTATTTATTGTCTCTTCATCTCCCTCCCTCTTGTAGTGTCTGACGTTTCTTCTATTTGCTTCTCCTTCATTTTAACTCTCTGTGAATGACTTGCTATCGTATCTAGTTTTCTAGTGGTCTGTTTTACTGTTTCTTTTTTCTGTCTCCCCCCCCCCCCCATAACATTCAAAGAAACAAACTCTATTATGGCAACACACACACTAAACACCCTCCCCCTCCCCCAAATCTCACAGCACAGCACCAGATCTCTAAAAGTAGGGGTCTACCACACTAGGCAGGATCCCAGGTGCAGAGTCGGCAGAGAAGCCTCAGAGATAGTCCAATACACAGTGGCAGGGCGTGAGATGCAAGCAAGAGTAGCATGTATTGAACGGCACAACCAAGTAACTGGCATTGTCTACAGAAACATCTGCACAATATATGGGATAGATAGAACCTCCCAAGTTCAGATGTGATATCATACAAGAAGGTCGTGGAAAAAAAGAGGGCTAAGATCCTGTGAGACTTCCATATGCTGATGGCCAGGCAGGTACTAGCCAATCAACAAGACATCATGATAATAGATGAAGACCAGAAGATGGTTGTGGAGATAAATGTAGTGGTACAAGTGACAGCAACATCAGGCAGAAGGAATATGAGAAGCTGGAGAAGTTCCAAAGCCTGAAGGTGGAACTAGGGAGGATGTGGAAAGTAAAGGCCAAAGTGATGCCAGTAGTGATAGGGAGCACTCGAGACTGTGACTCCTAAGCCTGGACAATGGCTACAGCTGATCCCAGCAACAACATCATAGCTTTCTGTCCAAAACAGTGCAGTGTTAGGAACAGCTAAGATAAGGTGCGGAACCTTCAGACTTCCAGGCCTCTGGTAAAGAACTTGAGATTGAGGAAGATATACCACTCTTAGGGGCAAGAAGGGATTTTTATTTTTATATACACATACCCCTATACACATGCCACCCTAATCTCTGGAATACAATAAATACAAAGACAAGTCATAGGGTGGGGCACTGCCTCATTTAATTTTTGTCTCAAGACTTTGATTTTTTAAAGTATTCTTTCAAATTTTACAAAAGCCAGACATGGTGATTGTATTGATGGAATAGAGAAAAAGAACCAGTCATCCTTATAGAATCATTCTTGATTGTCCTCTGATGTTAAACTCAGGTGTTCTTCCTCTTTATCTTAAGTGCTCTAGTTGTAAACTAAGTTAAAAGAGACTGCTATGCAGGGATGTGATTCATTTCAAAGCTGACTTAATAAGCATTATTGTATACATGCATACAGGTAGCTATCCAAGTGTGGTCTCATTAGGGTGATCGAGACTTACTATCATTTGCTCCAGAAACAACCTTATGAAGACAAAATAGTTAGAATAATGGTTATGCAATTGCAAATGTCCTGAGAGACTTGGTCATATCTCTTGTTAGTCTGGTTTTTGGCATGGTTTGGAGATAAATTTAGTCATAGTAGACCTCCAGGGATAGATAGGAAATACGAGTTTTGATCTTGCTTGACCTTTTAACTGCTTTTAATACCATTAATCATGGTATCTTACTGGTATTTTTGAGTTAAGGATTGGGGATACTGTTATACTAGTTCTATTGTTAGTTGTAGGGATAGGCTTCAACAAATAAGTAGGTTGCTGTACCTCTAGAGTCTAGACCCTGACAGTTATCCTGTAGAGTGGCATAGAATGCTTTATCAGTAGTTTCAAACATTTACATATAGGCTGTCTGTCACTAATATTCTGGTAGTACTGAAGTCTGCTTC